AAAAAAAAAAAAAAAAAAAAAAGAAAGAAAAAAACAAAAAAAAAAATGAAGGAAAGTATCCAGCCTATGGCCTCTGGATTGTATCCAGCCCATCAGAACAACTCATCCGGCCCAATCCTTGCTTTGGAAGTTATGAGACAGGGCACAGTGTTTGGCACAGAGATTAATTGCTCCAGATGTTTGTTCACCAAATGCTGCCAAAGGATCCCTGCTCTCCCCCAACCCCCATCATGTAACTTGTGCTGTGTCCATCATACTCCCCACCACAGAAAATACATCTTAATTGCAGGAAAGCATGTATAAAGGTTGTCCACATGACAATGTTTCTTGTAAACTTGTCAGGTACACGTCAGCCACATACCACCCCAGCATGGATCCTCCTGGTGAGGAGTGTGCATCTACACAGCACTGAAGAGTTTGGACCCTTGAGTTCCTCCATTAGATGCTACGGGGCTTACTTAAGACAACATGACACTTAACTGGCTTCAGAAAAGAGGAAGAAAGTTTGAGAGTTACCATATACTTGTGACTGAGTTTGAAGAAATTATTCCATTCAAAAGGTTTGTTTGAGCCTGACCTATTTTTTCAAGTTTCACACTCTTAACAAACTGCTGAGGTTGAAGCTCATGCTAACAGGGTTTAGGAGCCTATTTTTTGAAGACTAATTTTCAGTAGCATTCTGCATCTTCAAAATTGGATAGGTCTTTAAAAATAAACTTCATAGGAATACAGTGAAAAGGAAATAGTGCAGAAGCATAAAAATAGCTTCAATAACAAACTATAAATCATTAATTTCCATCACACACTGACTTGCAACAACACTTCTGCTTTTACTAAAGAAAGGAGTTCAGAACATTTAGGGACAGGTTCATTCATTCTGACCTGAGAGCATTTTAACTTGCTCCCAAGACAAGGATATGACAGGACACCACGGTGTAAGTCATCTGTGTTGGTTTAGACAGACTCCACTACTATCTCGCTGTGGCTGACAGAGGTACGAGTGAGGTTGTCCAAGTCCCTTGAGAACTCAAGGCAGATCTCAAACAAGTTTGGGTCCTACTCATGGAATGTCTGCTGCAGAACTGCACTCCTCCTTATAGAAACACATTAAGTTTGTATCAGAAAGTTATAGGCCATAAGAAGAAAGAGTTGAAATGGGGTGGGTAGGGAGAGGAGGGTGAAAAGAGGTTGAATAATACCATGGCTAAAACCAGATCAAGTCATAGAGAAGCACACGCTGCATCTGCAGGCACTGTCTGCTCGCCCCTGCCGTCCCCAGCCCAGTAAATTAGCTTCAACACCAGGATTTTTTGTTGGAATCAACACAGTTCAGATTGCTTGGCTAGCATCCAAAATTCATTTAGTGCTTACTGTAATCAATATATTGATCAGTCACAAACACCATGTGGCTCCAAAAAAGTAAATATAATTACACAAGAGAATAATTTATAAAAGCATATAGTCCACATTTCCTACAGTAAAGCTGTATTCGTTGTGGTGAAGAAATACATAATATGAATGAACACATCCCAAATCATTTGATCATAATGATAGGGGTTGCCTTTGATCCAAGACAACCAGAAAAGTGTTTTTGACTGAAAAGAAGAAAAACAACCTACCACCAAGAATTCTAATTAGCATGAGTGATACACGTGAACTGATTCAATACAGAAAACCCACTTTAATTCTATGGTCAGAAATTGGTCAAACACATACATGTCAAAAAAGGACTTCCAATTATGTGCAATTTATCTTTATTTTACCAATTTTTACTATTAACATGTCTAATTTCTAATTCTATCAGATAGCAAAATCCCCATGTTCTACAGGGAATCCAGTTTCATAGCCCAATTTAATCCCTCCTAGAACCCCTCTAGGACAATCCCACCACATTATTGGAGAAAAATAAATAATAATAATAATAAAAAAACAACTAAGTGCCCATAACCATTCAGTGAATAATTCAGAATCAACAGCCCATAAAATGAAACCCTCACTTAAAAGTGTAATATCACCTTGTTTGTTTTCCTGAACAGTCTCAATTGCTCCATATTTTTCTTGTTTTCAGGGGACCTGTACAGATGGGACCTCAATTATGAAAAGCCAGAGCAGCCAGCTGTATGCCATTCCAAGGCAGGAAAGAGCACAGGGCTAGCAGGCATAAGAGAGGGATCTCCCCCTCAAATTAGCAGAAGATCCAAAGCAGGTTGCAAACGGTAAGATACGCACCAGAAGGAACTGTAGGGTTTAGGTATTTGGGCATCTTCTTTCCCAATTTACACGCATTTCCTCCCTGGGCTAACTGAAAATTTTTAATTTTGAGAGACTGGCAAATTTAGTAGATTAGGCAAAGCCTGTTTGGAAAAAAGTTTCAAGTTTAAAATATTTTTTTTCCTTGAGCTCTGACAATTGTATTGCTAACAAGAGAATTTCTAGCACAACAGTGGCAACATAGTATAGACTTTTTTTAAAGACTAACTGGGTTAAGAAATCAAAGCCTATCATTTAGCTATGGAGATAAAATGTGTAGTCATCATGTTAAGAAACAATGCTTACAGATTACATGCTACAGTCAGGCTACTGTCCTGCATTCTTTGTGCACCACAAACTCACACGGAAGCTGAGATTCTGTTATCTCTGGTAAAACAGCACTGATTAGATGGTATTTGTGCAGAAAAAAAAAATATTCATAATAAGGCATAAGAAAATTCTCGATTAGACTTTTATAAGCAAAGCTAAAAATTTTAAGGATATGACTACGTTACATGTCAGATTGGAAAGCAGAACCTAGCAGCCATATTACCTTCTAACAAATTGGAACAGCCATATTAGCTTCCATTCTGTGCAGCAGGAGACCAGAACAGAAGTCATCCTCTAGCCATGGAAAGGACTGCACGATAGCTAAGCCTTTATAACAGTACCTGTGGGCTCACCCTGCGCCTTTGTCCTGGAGAGCAAAGACTCAAGCCTTAGCATAGGCATAATTAGAGAAAAAGCCATAAAAAAAGCAGTTCAATGCACAATCAACATTATCACTCACTTACTCATAACATTAATGCGTAACCCTTCAAAAAGCTAGATTGCTCCCTTGAGTGCTTTCAAGATCCCCAAACCTGTAAGCACACTACCACATTTATCACAGAGGTATTAAGCAAGCAGTGAAATAGAACTGTTCACATCTCATTTTACCTAGCTTTTGAGTTGGGTGAAGCTGTGTGTGTTCTGGTTGTTTTTTTTTTTTTTTTAAAAAAAAAAAAAAAAATCAAGAGAAAGAGAAGTTTCTCCAAAACATGTATAAAAGGCTAAGCATGATACAAGACTGACACAGCAATTCTGACTATGAATCAAAACAGTTTTGTTAAGCCTCCATCATTGCTACCTGAGAAAACGACTATTTTGCTTTCTGTTTTAATAAAATCTTATAAACAAACCTAGGATGAAACTGTTCTTATGTAATGTATTTTCCTCTGGACCCAAGTAAAACCTTACTATCACCAAAAGCAATATTTATTAACACTCCTCAGGAGTGCCCAAGATACTACACTAAACTGCATGCTGTGCAATCAAGAAGCTTAGCATAAACTAACGGCACTAATACCTCTATGTGCAAGGTGAATGCTACTATAAACATATTTTTGCTTGTTCCCATCTCTTACTAGCAGCCAACGGAGTGATGAGTAACAAACTCTTCAGGAGCACATCTATCCTTTCAAGCAGAAATGGGAGCTAACAGAACAACACAACTAGGAGACTGAAAACAGTAGTGATCTACGGCAGGAAAGCAAAGAAGAGGAAGAAAAATGGAAGTGGGTGGACAGCAGCTGAGCAGCGATAGCAAAAAAAGAGCAGATGAATAGGGAAGGAGACAAATGAGATGTGAAAAGAGACAGAAGACAAAATTACCAAGAGTTAGTCTAAAACAGCGGTTCTTAAACCATGGCTCAGCCAACGGAAATTACAAAGTCAGCCTGACAGGAAGAGTAAATTACAACACTGCTGCCAGCATCTTACTTTTTGAGCAGTGTTGCCAAGAGTCAGCCATGGCTGGGAATTACTGGCCTACCGCATGGCCACTGCAAGTGCTGCAATGGCTTTGTGACCCAGGGATGTCATGAATAAAAGGAGCAATGCAGCCGAGAGTAAGCATACGGGAATGGGAAGAGGGAGGAAAGGAGAATCACCATTGAGCTCAACTGGAAATGAGATCAAGCCTTTATTAACTGGTCCACACGCTAAGACAGCCACCATGCAAGTCGCACCTAATCTGAAGCACTGTGAAAGCTGGAAAGCATTTTGTTAAAGAGAGACCCAAAACCTTTTCAGGACTTGAGGTGAGCTCCTGTGCAAAGATATGCAAATTACATAAAACGAAGTCTACGGTGGACACAAAGGTATCATCCAGCATTCTTCTAAAAGTTCCTGAAATTGTAACTGATGAAAAAAGAAAACCCTAGATAGGCAATACATGGAATGAAAGGAGAACTGTGATGTCTAGGGAAGTACTCCAAGGTACAATTGCAATGCTTTAGCTTATTTTAATGCCTTAAAAACATTAGCCACATAAAATAACATGCCGCCCTTATAATCTGTAATATCTTGGTCTGTATAATCAGCTCAATCAGAATCAATGTGCAAAGGGGAAGAAACTTTCCTAAATATACCCATCCTACCTGACCTTCACCAAAACACAACTAAATATAGAAGAGACTGCAGGTATGAATGGACACAACCTCCTCCTATCCTTCGAGTTAATCCAACTATGCAAGTAAAAATTATGTAAATTATGTAAATCATGTTTTACAGGTTTTTATCACTGAATATAGTGTAGCATTAGCCTTCCATTAGGCTTACTTACACTGAACTGTTAGCTAGTTAGGAAGTTAAGGCCTGTTTTTACCAAGAAACACTACCAGAAAAGACAGAAAATGTTTGTATAAGCTGAAAACATACCGTTACTGTCTCTTCTGTACTTCTTTCTCTTTGTACTGGAGCAACTGGAAACTCAAGAAGGGACTTTACCGTCTTCCTTTTTGCTTTTTCCATTTGAATATTGGTGAAGTAGTTGACAGCAGCAAACTCAATAAGAGCGGAGAACACAAAGGCAAAGCAGACCGCTATGAACCAGTCCATGGCAGTAGCATAGGATACTTTTGGCAGTGAATGTCTTGCACTGATGCTCAGTGTCGTCATTGTCAACACTGTGGTTATTCCTTCAAAGAAATAAAGCAAAAGCACTGCTGAATCCGAGAAAACAAACTGAGAATAGGCAAGCAGTTTCAAACAAAGAATTTTAAATCACTTAGGAGTCTTTCTCTGCTGCTTGTGAATAGTGCATTAGATTTAAGTCATGGCAACCATCATATATCTATGAGCAGCTATGCATGCAAAACAGTTAACCAGTTTTTAAAGGAGGCAGGGAAATTCATGACTTCAGCATGTCTACAGTTCACATGAAGAAAATGTGGAAGCCTTCATTTCATATTTTTTCATTTCAAGTTCAGTACAATTTCTTACAAGTTATTTTCTAAACATTTGAACATAATTTAAGGTGTTAACTGGCGAGTGCTCCTCAGACTGCAACAAAACCATGATTTTTCCTGTAACAGGTTCAGAATGCCACCTATTAGTCTGCGTCTGTTCCTCTGATCCCACTCATAATCCAGGTGCCATTAAGTCATGGCAAATTATTTTGGTGCTAAGGAAAACTAGAATATTATGTTAACAACTCTGTTAATTAAGATACCATCACTTTATCTTTTAAACCCTTCTGCTACTAGTCAACCGATGAAATTTAATTAGAATTCCATCTTCTGAAAGAACAACTTTTTAATTAAAGTGTACAAGCATGAACAATGAACTCAAAATATGACCACTTCATGGTAATACTTCAAATGCAAATAAATACATGCTGTATAAAAGCAAGGTATGGTGTCTTTTTTTTCATTTTTCATCCAAAATATCCCACATCTTACAGAAGTAAAATACCGAGTATATAGTGAACGCTGTATAAGTCATACCATGATAACCTCAAGGAAGGCTGACTACAAATGGAGATGTCTTTACTCGTATGAAAAGAATACTGTACCCACTTTAATTCAAGATGAAATGCATAAGCTCAGAAGAATTCAAAATAATTAAGGGCATGTTTTCTAACAGGATCCTCACATCCTCTATTCCCTAAATGGTGGTATTCCATCTGGGTAATCTAATATGAAAAAGCTTCACCTAGACACTGCCCTACAGAGAACTGGGCACAATGAAACCAGTCCTTCCTACTGAAGAAGGAAAAAAAGGAAAAAAAGAGTAATAGCCAGTTCATGAAAGCACAAAGAATATCTCAGAGCAAACTCAGCAGGATAAAAACACAGATGCAAGCTCACAAAACCTTCTTCAGTGGGAAGGTGTTGAAAAACACAGCACTGAAAATGTTTAAATCTGAGAAAAAAAATTATGGACAGTTATTTTTTTTCCTGGAAGAGACCCATCCCTGCTTAGCCCTATCCTTCCTCATTATACCTTTGTCCACTACAAGCAAATAGTTTGTCTGAATTGTCTTGCTAAACACATTTGTTTAATAGATGTAAGAATCGGGTGAAGTGACTTAAATGACCAAACATTCCCCAAATACAAGGAGGAGAGGGGAGGCCATGACAGTATTATAGTTTACTGCCTTAGTCTTTCAGATTTCCCCCTGTTATATCGTTCTTCTGGGAGACTTTCAGTTGCCACTGCAACTGCTCTTGGATACGTGCCATAGGAATTTACAGGGTAGGGAATGAAGTTCTGGTAGAAAACATTAGGTATACACATGAACTGTAATTATCCAGAGCTAAATACTTGCAAGCTTCTGACTAGAAATGCGCATAACCATATAAAAATACATTAAGAGTATTTTTATATAAAAATTAAAATTAAAAACCTGTCATAAAATTACTGCTGTCTCTCCTCTAAGAAACACCAATCTCCCACAATCACCAGATTCAGGTGTCTGAAGCTCTGACTGCAGAAATCACAACCTGATGTACCTTAGTTCCTTGTGTATCCTTCCTCTGTTACCTTTGCCAAGTTCTCCCTAATCATACAGAGTCCAATGGAAAGACATTTCAGTTAGTCTCTTCTGACTGTTGCTCTAGAAAGCTGGTACCATAGCAGGTATTCTGGCTTCATGCCTATCTCTTGCCTGCAAGATTTCTATCTTCTGTTAAGAAAACCTTTAGATAACAGGATCCCTGTTGGAATTAGTCAGAAAACTAAAAAGATACTTTTAGCCATACTTTAAGCCACTTGCTTTCAAAGGCTTATCTGTAACTTAGTGGATGTCCAAATATTATTTGCTTTCAGTTGCACATATAGATATAATGACATTTATGTATGATATTACATCTATTGTTCTATAATTTGTACATTTTCAATTACCACATTTTGTCTGTAAACACCGATTCTATCTTTCCAGTTCATGGCAATGCTTCCTTCAGAAAAAGTACCATTATTCAACCTCTCTGCAAAGGCATGTGAAGTGATATATTAGTTTGCCTGATGCAATGCTTGAGTTGAGAGCTAGTGGGGGTCTTACTAGGTTTCCAGGTTGTTTCTCCTGTAACTAATCATTAACATTGTCTAATTTGTGATACTAAACAGTGTTCTGACTCCACTTACATGTTTGAATGGGTTGTCACGTAGAAACATTAATTCCTATCACTCTTGCCAGCATCTATCTAACTATAGAAAGGCTTTTTGTAGAACATTCTCTTCGTGATTAGTCTTTAGACTACAGTACATTATAAAGTCAAGACATTGCTCTTTAAAGACTGCTTTTAAAAATGTTTTTATCCTACTTCTTTGGTAGGAATCATATTTCCATTTAATTTCTTATGCTTTGTCTTCCACAGAAGCTTTTTTTTTTTATTTTCAGAGTTCACTGTAGCATCTCATTCAAGCTGTATTTTAATGAGGGCAATTTTAATATCTTGCGATCATTTTGCTTTTTGAATACATTTTCATAATGGCAATGGCAGAAAGGAGAGATGAGCACTAAAACATGAAATTACAGTAACAGGATCTGAGCCTTACTCATAGCGAGCTTCCACTGATGATACAGATATTTTCTAAGAAGACATCTGCACATATTACACACTCCCAATCAAATCATTTTAAAAGGATTTTACGAGGTATGAGTTCAAGTAATTACACTATAATGTCCACTGGAGGATAAAAGTGCTCTGGATGTAGGTTAAGGACTTAACTGGATTACTCAGGGCCAGGTCTTCCCAATTCACTCCCCCAAACAGGTAGAATCCCCACAGATGTATATCCATGTCACCCTTCTGGTTAAATATTCCAAGTTTCTCTTCAGATTCCAAGGATTCACATAATACATTCTTCATACATTGACAGCAAAAATTCCTCTGAATTGACCTTATTCCCTTGCTTCTGCATGAGAACAGAAGCAGTATACACCCAGGCACTAAAAAGGCCTATTCTAGAGAAAGACATTAAAAGAGGAAGCACTAGAAAAAGTAAAGAAAAGAAATAATTACCAAATACAGTTCTAGCTGGAACGGACTCCTTATTTATCCAAAATGAAACTTGAGAAAGGATCACGGTCATAATGCATGGGATATAGGTCTGAATCATAAAATAACCCATTTTCCGTCTGAGGTGGAAGTACACTGTCATAACAATATATTCACCTAAAGAAAAAAAAAGAAAAGAAAATATTTTTCTGACTGTGCACAAAATTTTTGTGTTGCAGAATAACTGCTTGAGACTATCAGCTAGGATTGTTTAAGATGATGCTATTCACACCACTAACCATGTATAGAAAGCTATTTTCCTTAGAACATAATTAAAGTTTTAAACAAAAGATCCTGGAAGTAGTAGGTCCTTACAGTGTCATTCTGAAGCCGCTATCAAAAAATAATATGAATGCACAGCTAATACTGGATCACTTTTCACAGTATGACTTAAAAAAATTATTTTGGCATCTGTTGAAGAACAGAGTCCCAAGACACAACCTACCATAGTATCCAGAACATTGTGGAACCTACCTGCCAAATAAAACAATAACAATAATGATGCACATCAAATTACATGGAAGCATCTCAGTTTTTTACTAGGTTTATACATCAGCACTACTACGATAATGAAACAAATGCAAAAATCATTGAAAAGAATTAAAAGTACTGTAAGTTTATCTAAAATGTTCATTCATACTAAACAAAAAAAAAATGCAGTTTTGCCATAAACCGAATAAACTGCCTAAATAAAGCACTATGGAATGAGCATTTTGGGGACAGTAAAGAAATTCTGTTGTCAACTCATAATAATCAATATCCTGAGAAGTACATCTCTACTGTATTGCAAACCACTATTTTATCTTTGAGAAAAATACCCAGAGAGCAGTACATCAAATGTGTTTGCTTTATCTATTTCATTTTGACCATCTCACAACACACAAACTTGCTGATGCTTAGAAAACGATTCCAAATTTTAAAAATATTTCGGGAATATGCTTGTTTATTACCACACTGCTCATCAGTGATACTTCACTCATTTCAGATGCCTGTAGTTGCCATTTGCCTTATTTCTTACAGCAGAAATCAGCAGAAGTATCTATTGTGAGTAATGCATTTGTGCCTGTCCTTATCTGGCTAGAGGGTTTTTATGGCTTTAATAACCCATTCTGTATGCTGTACTTCTCTCCCAAGCTGTTTGCACCGCCAAACAAAGGAAGTCTTTTGCACATAATGTGGATACAGTGCTGAGAAATTACTTCCTCACCCAGGCATCCTCTTGACTCTTCAAACTGCATTTTAAGCAGTGATTAAATGCTCATTTTGTCCCTCGGAGTAATGATCTCATTCGAGCTTTCTGAAAGACCGTCGCAATCTACTGTAATGAATCTGCAAATGTAAATCTGAAGGACAGAAACCTACTTCAGATTTATGCTCTCAGCCCTTAATATATATCCTATGACATTCAGCAGAATACCTTACAGGAAGGAAAGAAAAAAGCCTCGTGCAATGTTACAGGGTTACTTTTACCTCAAGTTGATTTTTACTGATGAGATTCCTACCTGTAATAGATTTAATGGTTTCAGTGGATACCGTATGCCCAAGCAGGTCATACTGAACTAAACTGGAAGACTCCTCAGGAACTTCCACTGACTTCTCGGGTCCTTTTGTCCAGGTATAAATCATTTCACTCTTTGGATAAGCATCTACAACACATCATCAGTTGCATAAATAGGAAACTTCTCACACCTTACTAAGACCCCAATCCAAACCTACTGAAATTGAACAGCAAGACTCACACTAACAGTTTTAGAAGATACCTTTCATGTTAAGTTACCCCCAAAAGCCACCCTCGGAGGAGAATAAAGAGGAACTAAGGTCATATGTCAAGTGTCACACACAGATTCACTTCACATTTGAATGTGAAGTCTAAACACAAGTTCTTTCTGGATCAGCCCTTACTGGGCAGGTAAAGTTTATCTTTAAATTAGTTTAGACATTTCTATCTAAAATTTTATCATTAAAATATACTAATATATAAAAAAGAGCATGTATAAGGAGGATACATTCTGGAGGCTGGGTGCACATTTCTTTACAGAAAAGAATGATTATACTAAAAACTATATTATACTAAAAACTGTAATATTTTAAACTTGTGTTTAAAATATTTGCCAGAAGCCAGAGATCAGTAAAAAATTCACAATAGCCAAAAAATAAGCACACTCAAAGAAACATTTTACATTTAATACAAAAGACATAACTTAGGGCTAGCATTCAATCCCTACACAGCCCAAACTCCTGTTAAAATTAAATTAAATCAGTCTTGCACTTGAAATGGTTACATCTTATTTTAAGTTTCACTGAGGAAGATATCAAATTAGTGTCAAGCGCAATTTCTGCTGCTTGGTGATTCTGCCTGAAGAAATGTGCCAGTGGAGTAGCCCTCGCTGTTGAAGCTGCCCTATCGTACAGCTGATACCAAAGCCAATTCTGGCAGCACCTGGTCTCCAGTCTCACTGTAAAAGGGATGAAAAACCTTATCAGAGCAGTGTCTTTAATATCCCCCTCTTGTTTGACTACCCATCTGTATAAGCTAAATTTATGCTAAGGAAAGACTATGAGTAGCTTCCAGCCATTTCTAACTTCAGAGCTCTGGGATCAAGGAAAATAGATTAATGTCCAGCCACTGACTACATCAGAGAATAAAGTAGAGAAGTCAGCAACTGAGGAGGCTTAGAAAAGTGACAACATAGCTAATGGAGTGCACCAATCATCCCCAGGTGGTCTCAGAAGTCTCTGCTGTGGATTCCAATCAGGGAATCAGAACTACCTCCCTTGGCTGTTATGCAATATGTCCCAAAACGTTCGTTCTAGCCCAAGTTTGGAGATTATCCAAAAATCTACATCTGATTTCAAATCAGAAAAGGAAAGTCACCTGCACTAAGATTCCTCTCACCAGTCTAAAAATGATTTAACCAGACAAAACTTGCCATTCAGACTCCCGTTATAGGCCAGGAGATAGAAGACAGACAACTAAAGACCAAATCTTTACTTGTAACCTACACATCTAACTTAGGATGTCAATGTGCCTCCACTGGCTGTAGAGAAAGTCAAATAACCTGCTTCTCTAGGTGCCTTTTACCTGGCTGTGAGAAGGTGAGATGGATCTCTTTGTCTTCTCCAGAGACTCTCTCACTTCACTGAGTATCCAATTCCTCCCTAAGAACCAAGGAAAACTACATATTTCAAGCAACTGCGTAGCCAGAATAGCAGGGTTTAACAGCTGAATCACTGCCTGCTTTTCAATCCTCTGTCTGGGTTTAACTTTTCAGGCCCTAAATAAAATTCCCAGGGAACTTAACAGGAGTTTTGTCTGCATAAGGATTGTGTATCAAGACTCATATTCAGAAAGCTTAGTAATTTTCAAAATCTACTTCTACTATTTAAATTCTGTAGTTACAAGAAATTTCATAATTGCAACTTACAACTCCCAAATTTGAGAGGACAAGCATGACCATCCATGGGAAAATCCACTAATCTCATGGGACACTCTGCACTTATTGTAAGCCTATAATGGAACAAATTAAATAGTCTCTGGTTGCCATTTTGTCTAGGCAGTATAACTTTTTGCATATAGTAATTGTAAGAAGCTGAACAAACAAGTTAGATACCTCATTGTGTACAGGATGGTGCCATTTCTCATTATTCTGAAGAGTTTATTTGGGGCTGTCATATTATGTGCAACAGACTTTTTCCCATTCCTGAAGAAAGTGTCAGGAGTCCACACCTTCGAAACCATCAAGTTATTAAGTCTTAAAATTTCAATAGGGCCGTCATATTTTAATCTTTTGTCTACCCATGTCTGACGGAAGAAGACATCCATTGTATACTCCTGTATTAAATTGCAGAAAAACAGAGATCATATTTGCATGTATAAGTGTTTCCTGTAAAGAAAGAAATCCCTCAGGAGCAAAGAAATCAGTAGTAAAGAAAATGCTAAGTCCACTACACAAACATATTTCCACCAATTAAAGTGTGCTGTGTACTTCTTAATAGCTTAATATCCCACATTAGTCATATCAATAAATTGCTACACATATTTAATCATTAAGGAATAATTAATCTAATTAGGTTGCAGGAAGCAGGCAATTGAATTTGTAGTCAAGCATATAACTGGAAACAAAATGATCTCTGACAATAAGTGTCAACAGATTTTTAAAGAAAAGATAACCATGGATTTTCTGCTGCTGGCTAAATTAAAAATACCAGGACAAACGATTACTTCCACTTTAAAGTCAGGGAAGAAAATATCATTTCAGCTGATGGAAAGTAAGCTTTTAAATGAGGAAAACTAAATATTTCCTTTGCCATGCCCACAAAACATGGATAGGCGCACATATACACATTTGATTATAACTACATAACTATCCCATGAGCTTCCTCAGAATAGCCATTCAGATGCTCCAAAGAAAACATGCAAACAAGAACTGCAGAACTGCAGACACAGGCACATCATGAGAAATCTTATGTGAATGAATGGATGAAGGAATGCACCTCTCATCTCTGGAAGCTAAAGCATTTCACAGAAAAAGCATCATGTGGCATTGAAAAAGGTAACACTGAAAGCTTTAAGTCCTTTCTAACTTACAGTTGTGATTTTGTTCTTAAGCCAAACAATGTGTTCTGACTTTATTTCAAACTCTTCTGCATAATGTTACCCTTGAAACTACTTATATGGCCATATCTATTCGCATGGGCAAAGAGGCATGTCTGTTAGTGCAATGCATCTCAGAACTGTATCGTCTTTTCCATGGCTGCAGCCTCCACTGTGGTTTATAGTTAATCTATGAAAAGTCTCTTTTCGAGTGTAATTTCTTGCCGGTGACTTCATAGCTCATAACTAGCAGTTTCTGTTATTAGCTTCTACGTGACAGATTTTGTAATATGAGATTTCAACCCTTTACATTACACCGGGTGACAAAGTAACCCAGCTCTAAAAAGGCATTCTGATCAATCCCTTGGACTAAGACTATATCACACTTTGCTGTTTCAGGGAGTTTTAGGAGTGCAGCCACATTCAGATAAGATTGGGTCACTGATGGATCCATTAACTAAAAATCATTCCAAAACCAATTCCTGAATCCCTGAATAGCCTCCTAACTAATCCCTAATGATGAAAGGGGAAACATCTCCTGTAAACTCTCTCTTTTTGCCAGTTCTTTACCTGCCTTCAGTCCATGTTCTCACTCCTACCTTCTCCAATATAACCAATAATTTCCCATGTGGCACTATGTCAAACGCTTCACTGAAACTTGGGAGATGCCATGCAGCCCTCATTTTAGATTTGAGGCACACACTACTGGATTTCCTAGGGGCCAGATTCTTGTACCCCTTGTCACATCATACCATACCTGACAACCCTTGAGGGGTAAGATGCTTTCAACATGAGATTGCTGTCACAAATCTAGCCCGTGAAAAAATAGCTTGCTATCACATACCTTTCCACATGATAGAACCAAATCAGGTGCAGCACAAAGTGCACGACAGCACTCTATGGGAAGAAAGTTACTGCCCTGAAACTGCCTTTCCCTTAAAGTTCAGTACAAACATATAATGCACATATGGAGCTGTTACTTCCATGTGATTTCTTGGATATTTTATAAAAAGAGAAACTATTGTGTGATTAAAGGGTATACCACTAGATTATAGAAGTTGATGAGAGTTATGCTGGATTTGACCTCAAATGAATGCAGATGCCATTCAGGCACAAATAACAGTATGTGCAAATGTAACATTTCTCTTCTGTGACTATTTCATGCATGTCACTCGGACGTTCAATTTCTGCAGACGCTTATGAAAACTCTTATCAGTCAAACGTTTGCTGAAAGTGATGCTAAAAGAGGCACAAAGATCAGCAAAGGGCATTCACCTGAAACAAAAACGTCAACAAGTATTTGTGAAATTATGTCATTATTATTCACCTGAGGATAACATAAATTTCAGAAAGAAAAAGCAATTCCAAAGATATTACACATTTCCCCACAGTTAACTGATGTAGTTGCTCCCCGCAAGGCCTGATTCTGCCTCTATACCATGAAAGTCTGTTTTAAATCCTATGAAGTGAATTCCTTAAGCCAGCCAAAAAAACGTGAAAGTGTGACCAGAATCAGGCCTGATGTATCTAATTATAACCTGTAAATTAAGCTGTTACTAATCTTGCCTACTTGTTGCATGATTGACAGAACAGTACAGATGAAGCATCCACTCCTTACTGCAGTTAATGGCTTCTCAGAACCAGGAAATGGAATTTTAAACCCAGAAATACATACCATTTCTACATCAGAAACAGGTCCAAAACTGGTGACATATATATCTGTTTTGACTTCAGTAACAGGACCTAATGTATGAAAAGGAAGTGAGCAAGAAAATTTGAATTTTGCAGGTCAACAATTCCCATAAATGATCCTGGTGTGTGAACAGTTATCGCTTTGAGGGTTCTGTGGACAAGCAAGAGCAAAATGCAAATACAGGTCATTTCAGGTAAGTCTGACAAGCACTGCCCAATTACCTTTACCACATAAGTAAATCAAACGCAGCATTTCCATGCAAATCCCCATTCAGAAAACCAATGTTGACTCAATGGATGAGAAAACAGATGCCAAAAAGTTAAAAGGCTCACTGAAAACACCACGCTAATTGACAACAAGCACTGAATTCAGGAAATCCACATTCCCCGAGGCATTTATTATTACCAATAGGACCAAATGTTAGTAACTGGACTACAGATATTAGCGTGCCATGCACTGGGCAATTTAGTACTGCAGTATCAAGAACTGCATCCATACCCTGAGATGCTCTCAAGCGCTTCAATACTAACAATCAAAATAAAAGTTGGATATCTAAGCATTTTTGAGGGTCTGAATCTAGGTACAGGTGCTACCACAAAGCCCTTCTTGAAAGAACTAGCGATACTTAGGACACTGTTCAAAACAGTGCACCAAGCAGAGGTCTTGCACTCTCACGGCTGGGTGCCACACAGCAACCATCAGAGAAAGCAGTTTCGTTTTAACATAGAATTTCCTTTACTACAGGACAAAACACCCTGAAATTTCAGATGGGCATTCACTCTACAGTACACTCTACAGTTCCTCTTAAACCAAAGAACACATGCACTAATTTCACTGGGATTTAGGTCTGTTCCAAATGTAAAAGGCTAGAAAGCTGCTAATCATTACCAGTTATTATGATGATTCTGGGATCAAAGCACTAGCTAATGGTCTAATTCAGGTAATTAAACTCACATCATAAATTAAAAAAAAAAAAAAAAAATCTACTGATGGTTTTACCAAACAGTATCTGTTTCAAACAAAATGTACAATCTACAAATTTACAATCACAGTTCCCAACCCCCTACACCTCAAACTTCTAAGGAGGGTAAGCAGCTCGAGCCTGTTAATTCAGTCTTTATCAAAGTATTTGCAATTCAAAATGAAAGAAGGAAAGGCTTGAGACTGTCAGTAGCAGAAGAATGTCCCTCTTGGAAAGAAAAAAAAATTAAAAAAAAAAAAAAATCACTGTTCACAGATGTCACTTTGAATCAAATGTTAAAAGGAGAAAAAGAAACAACCAACTGGAAAACAAGGAACCTATACTTCTTGCACCTAGAACAAGTGTCAAACTGTGAACAGAAAGTAAAATAAAACCATGTAAAATTATTTCACTAAACAGTTTGCAAGTTATGTAGAGAAGAACAGCTAAGAATTTTTCAGCTAAATGTCAAAAACCCAACTTTGCTGGAAGTTAACAGTTTCACAGAAGGACATTTTTCCAAGATAAAATCTAAAGAAAATTCACCCGACAACAGTTGGTAGCTCAGCGGTCCCTGGAAAGATGGATAGTTTGGCATGTCTGTCTTGAAGAGGTTCTAAGAAGATACTCCCAAGTTCCAGGTAACACACTCATACCGTGCTGTTTGTTTTGCTATGGGTAGCTCTCTAAACATGTCAAACGGAAGCTGCCCTTTCTACAAATAACAAAGTGTTCAGTAGGTCAGGGAAACCCATGAGTGGTTTGACCACTCATTTTACTGCCATGGTAGTCCAATGACACTTCCTGAATATAATTATTTCCAGAGAGCAGAAGAGCTCCGAGAGACTGGAAAAACTCACACTAGAGCTGTCAAGATACTGGAAGCAAAGACATTCATCTGCAATGTTAGAAAATAGGGGAGAAAAGCCCAATTATACTTGCACATAGAAATAAAAGAGATCCAACTGTATCTGACCTCCCATAATCACAAGACTATAATTTTTCTAGGGTTGGTTTAAATATATAAATATTTATTTCACCTGAACATGAAATATTCCCAAAATCAAAGTTCTACAGAAACCAAAAAGTCATTTCCCCCACATAGCTCTAATAAGAAAATGCAGGAAGTAGTCTCTATTACTCGATAGTAAGAGAATACGGAGTATTGCACTCAGTTCCTGAGTCCCTTTCAGGAACTGCTTTATTTGTTAGTTCTAAGAAACTAAATAGGAATATTCCTCAAAAAAAACCCCAAACCTTTAACTGCTTTCCTCTGGCAATATCTTCTTTTCTGTAGCTCTCAGAACACTGTAATTTTATAATCATATCAAATTGAGCTAAGGGACAGATTTTTCCCACAGGCATGAGCTACTTCTCCTCAGGCATTTATTTCTTTTGTTTTATTAAATGATTACAGGTTCACGGGTAATAAGCATTCAGAGATTTTTTGCAAGTTTATTTTTTGGAGTTTCTCAGAAAGAAGGGGAGAGCTAAGATGAAGAAGCTAATCTCCAAATCAGCAAGCCTATGATTTAATGCTATTAGAAATTCTATAGCAGCAGCACGGGCATAAAACTGTGCTTAAATTCACTTTTCGGTAACTGCTATTCTGCTCTCAAAAGTAGGACCCATGAGAAAGAAGGAATCAACAACTCTCAGACAATAATGAAGTCACAAAATAAGGTTGAAATTAAAGTTTACTTTTGGTTGCTTGCCTGACATGATGGCAGTACAGTGACAAAACAAATATGAAAATCACATTTTAGGCCGCTAGCAAATGGCAGATTAACAAGGATCTAGAAATATTTTAGTCATCATAGCAGTCATCCAGCTAGCACTGATGTGAAAATCCTTGCTTTGCATCCAAAACCTTGGTCAAACAGTTAAATGTCGGGTAGGAGTGAAGACAGCAGGAAGGGACAGTGAAGCTGATGCTCTCCCTAAAGCTTTTCCTGTTGTGCTCCACATCTTCCACCTACATCATCAGTTCACAACTGTTAAGGCCAAATCTTGGATTTTCTAGCACATCCCAGTACCTAATGACAACCCAGGAGTATCTATGGCGACACCAAAACCTATCCCTTATTCTTCTTGTTCTAGAAGAAAACATAACTCCAGTTGGTAACAATAGCGGGGGTACAAATAGTGAGTCATGCTTCTTTTTTTAATAAAAAAAAAAAACCAACCTATTATTAATCATGGGAATTCCTGTCAAGGAGGAGGTGATCTGTAGTCACCTAACCTACTTTTACTGGTGATTTAAGCAGCCCTCCAAAATGAACGTGTTGCACCACTTAATCAACTCGGGCTCTGCAAGCAGAAGATCCTGTTAGAATCCTTAACACTCTATTACTGGCAATAAAATGCAGCGAGTTGTAAGAAGGCCAATTAGCTTTAAATATGACCATTTGGGCTTATCCCTGAATGGATGTTCAGAAAGCATCTATCCACCATAAATCTTCAGGAACACTGAAGATCTATTTTTAACATACTGGTGTGTATTTTTATGTCAATGAAATAGGAGGAGAGTCCTACACACTGCAGTGGGAACAGTTAAGTCTGAATCACTGCTTGCAAGATAATATACTTTAAAGAAGCTCAGGCAGGATTAAAAGCAACCCCTGCAAAAAGCCAGAATAGTTCAGTGTTAGATAGAGATGTTACATGTGGGCTGAAGAAGCGATGCCGGGCCCTAACCTTGCAAAGAGGAACATAAGACAGCTCTCCCATGCATTTTATGCCAACATATGGGTTGAACTGCAGAACAGCTCCCCGCGAAAGACTTTGGGCTCCATTATCCCTGTGTCTCCATAGGCAACTGTCACTGCAGAGATCTCCACTGTATGTAAACAGTCGAATTCTGCACAGGCTTTCTGTATGTTGCAAATTTTGCCGTCAAGAGTCACGCAACCAATCGGGAACATCAGCAAACAAGACTGTACAAAGGTTTCAACATACAAAGTGCAATTTAAATGCCAAGTGCAGTCATTGCTGCTATTATGAGAACAGTCCCAGGATACATAAACTACATGAAATTATATTACATCAGTTCCTACAGCTACATCAAAAAAAAAAAAAAAAAAGTAGTCGCTACAGATTTTTTTTTTAAATAGAACTACATGTGAAAGATTTGGTGCTTTCTCTTTCCAAATTCTTGCTGCCTGAATAGGGTTGATATCTTTTAAGTGAAGGAAAAAACAAAAAAAGAAAGAAAAAAGCTATCATATGAAGCATGTTCTCTTGTTTTATTCTATCAGAAAGAACAGCTGAGGACACCTGCTATATGTAAAATTTCTGATAGGAAGCCAGAACAACTAGGTAGGGAATTTTTTAAAAAATGAATGTGGAACTCAAACACATTCTCTACTAAAAGATAAATACAAACAACAAATGTAGCAGCACACAATAACCTTTGTCTCTACATATGTTCATCCATCAGCATGCCTGAACCCTGAAAAGGGAAAAACATACCTCCAGAAATAAGATTACTCTGTTTCTCTGCCTGTTCCTCAGCAGATAATCTCTGCTGAGACAGCCAACAAGCTTGATGCTGGTGCCAGTTTTCATGATGTGGACACCTGTTTACTAAGAACTGGACTAAGAATATCAGCTCATTTTATACAGGCCACTGAACAATAGACAGATGGTAATGACTTCAAGCATTACTGACCTGGGCCAAATTCAAATCAGTCAACTACAGGTATCTAACACCATATCCTGTTAAGCCTTTGAGTCATCTACTCTCACCAGCTGAGGAAGACTGGACAACTGCCTGAAAAAAAAAAAGGATCAGCTTCACTTTACAGCGCTCACTTAAGTCCATTTGTGATCTAAAAAAATGAATAAATTACTACATCTATTATGCTGAGCAGTGGAACCTTGAAGGTATGAGTTGCTAATAAGAGCAAATAATCACATAGATATTTTGCTGTTCTCTAAAACCAGAAATTGTCCTTGCTCTTCAGATGTATTGTGTTTATTTTCTGACTAAAGTCATTCCTCGTGCATTGACAGGAAATTAAACTCTTCAGAAATGCTGTTCATCAGCTGAACATCACACAGCCTAGGAGGGGCAGAGAAG